GTACCCTGACGAATCAGCCCTGAATATCACCACAGCTGTTATTCTATCACTGTCAGTGTTAATCCAAACAAAACCTGAACCTGATTCATTATTAATCCAGCAGCGTCTCAACCCATGTCAGAGCTCCTTGTTTCATCATATTTCAACATTTCACATCAAACTGCTTTAATCCAGAGGCAAAGCAAGACCGGATTTAAGGCAGGGGTGCAGAAAATGTAAATTTCTTTTAAATTTTTTTTACTAAAACTGAAACCGGGTGATTCTGAAAAAATCCTGTTGATGAGCTCTCCGTCCAGCTAGCAAGCCAACCATAGCAAAGGCATCTGATTGCAGTATGGACACACACCCACATACAGCATGCATCTATCAACCTGTGTGCATCCGTGCAACCATCGCTCCTTCAACAAGCTCTGTTTCATGCTTATTTGCAAAGCTTTAGCTTCTTAATCAGCCTGTAATGCATTTAGCAATGAGCAGACACAAGATGCAATAGCACAGAAGGCCCTTGGTGCTTCTGTTCCCTGCATTTTGTTCCCTTGTGCCTGTCACATGTGCAATGACAATAAAGTTGAATTCTATTCTATCAGTCTGGATTATCACACCTTCAATCTCTGAGAGAGAGCCAGGACATGAGGTGGAAAATTAACCAGAGTGAACTGTGTGTCCACTCAGCATTATCTGGGGAGACAAAAGGCAACGGGGGCTTGACTCGATCTCCAGCCACAACACTGATATCTGACAATCTCAGATACTCAAAGCTTGGTGGAAAATTGCACCTGGCCAGTGCTCCTTGCAAAACACATACCCACCTTAAGTCCCATTTAAATATATTTGTTGCTATATGGGGACCACGGATTATTTTGTTTAAAGGCATATTTCACTCAGGCAAAGCTGAGTAAGATAGCAATTAGATTAGCACTGCAAATTGTTAGCAGGCTAAATATTTAAATTTAAAAATATTCCCACAGCAGAAATTAAAGTACTCTGTTTTACTGCAGTCCACCAGGACAAGTTATTCCTTTTCTGCAGTGCACATAGCATCAATTAGGCGGTCTTTGCTTGCACAGAGAGAGCCTCTGAGTCAAAGGTTAACGCCTACATTGGGTCTGGAAATGCCTGCCTTTGAAGTCTCTTTAGAGCGCTGGCGCTCCACATGGGGGCCTGGTGGAACAGTGGGGCTTCGGGAAGTAGCTTGCTGATTCTCGCGGGGTACTTTTTGGTGCCCCTCTGGCTCCGCACAGTTAGCAGAGATCTAAGGTGGATAAGCGGCAAAGTGTTAACCTACAGTACAGAGTCGACTCATTAAAAATAAACTGCCTGTACGGGCGACGAGCTGCTCGCGGAGACGAAACGTGTGTACATCTAAAAGCTTCAGTGGGCAGAGGCTCAGTCATTGTTCACATGTAAATAAAATCTGATGCCAGTGACAGTTTATTAATAATGAGCTGGATTGATAACTGCAGACGCGGCACAGTTAGTTAATTAAAGCACTTTATTTCAGTTGAGCAGTCCAGCTATTAGTTCTTCTGTTTAATGTCTCTCATTTATTTTCTATGACATATGTTCTTTATCTGATCTTTTCTGTCATGTCTTAATTTATCACTCTCTGTCTCTCACTCTGTCTTTCGCTCTATTCTCTGCCTCGCTTCCCAACCTCGCCGCTTTTCTGCGAGTATCACAACAGCAAGCATGAATCCAAAGCCTATTAAAATCCACGGCACGTCCAGGAACCAAGCAGGGCCAGCGGGAAAGAAACTACAGAAATTAATGAACATGCTTAACCTGCACTGGCCCCGGGCCCTGTTTTCTGTGCCTGTTTGTCTGTCTCTGCTGTGGAGCTACTGTTTACAACACGCTGCCTTCCTTTTAAAATTAAACGCATACCAAGAAGTGAGCGCTAATGTGTTTTTTTGGGGGGGGTTTTTTCAAATATGAAACTTTGTAGGAAATTCAAAATTCAGCTGGTGCTCATTTTGTTGTTAAATGCTGCCAGCGCTTTGTATATGTAATATATACGGCATGTTTTCATGGGAAGACTTTTCACATGCGTGTGGAATGTGATACATTTGA